CGTGACCCCGTCCTGTGGACTGTCAGTGACACGAGACTAAGTGTGCCAACCCAAGGTTTGTATTCCCCGTGGAAAGATCACGTGTGGAAGTGTGGAAGCCTGGTTGCAACAAGAGCGATCCAGGCTGGCAATAAATGTATCACTTGAAGAATTAAGGCTCTGTTAAGTCATACCCATAGTAGAGTAATCACAGGTGTGTCCCAAGTTGAAAATTCCGTCTTTAGAAGATTAATTTTATTACGGCGTGAATGTGAGTGACTCATATATCCCTGCAAATTGTAAATCATTGTATGGAAGCTGGCCAAATAAATGTAAGTGCAATTATCTGCCCGTATCTGTGATCCTATCTTATTATTACTAAAGGTAATGACTGATTGGTTATGACAAAGTACAACCAATAACTTAGATGGATGTTGAAAATTAATGGAACTCATTAAATCATCATTTATCAAGTATAAATCATGGAATGTCGAGTGGTGGAGTGAATTTCTACGTAGATACACCATAATCTCCTGTAAGTAACTAGTGTGAAGGTATCGAATTCTACGGCAAGAAATTAAGAAACATAATAATAATATCATAACATTATACGCCATCCAGACTAATAAAATCCGTGACACTGGGCAAACAGCACGATGAGTGTGATGTTCCATATACTCAGTGGGAGCTTGACGCCGCCCTCACCAGGGGTAGGTCTACTGCCCCTGGGGAGGACGGAGTAACCTACAATATCATCAGATTACTAAAGAGTGTGCCGGGCAATCCATTATTGCATTGTACAATATGAGTCATGCCGTAGGCTAACTACCCATATCATGGACCAACAGTATTGTCGTATCAATACCGAAACCAGGACAGCCTGATGCCTTTCGTCCCATATCACTAGCCAGCTGCCTTTGTAAAACTTTTGAGATGATGCTTCTTGGCAGACTTATATAGAATTAGAGAACACATGTCTCCTAACATAAATGGCGTCACCCATGGTAAAGGTGTACATAATTGCATCACCACATTCCAAACTGTGCATGGTGATGAAAGGCACAGATAACCCACATTTCTTGACCTAAAAGTTGCATTTCATATTACCCATTGGCAACTGATATTGTTACACTGGATAAGTGGTTACCTAACCAACAGAAGTGCTGTTGCACTGTTTCAGGGTTACAAAGGTGAAGTTAAAGATATGCAACTTCGCACCCCCCCAAAGTGGAGTACTTAGTTCCACTTTATTTAATGTTCTTACGAAAGCATTATTAAATTTAATACCAGACAACCCCAGCAATATCACAATCAGCTATGCTGATAATATTCTCATACTTATCGTAAAATGCAAACCACCCTGAAACATGTACATGCAGACTGTGAGAACCTCGGTGTTATTGTGTACACTGAGAAAACTAAGGTGTTCAACAAACAAGCTGGTAACCGCAAACGCGGCCCCGCCAAGTTCAAGATAGGTAACAACACTATTGACTATGTTTCTTCTTTTAAATATCTTGGTGTTTCCGTCCCTTGTACCCTACCTGCCATACAACAGCTAACCCGCTAATGTACTGACAGACTGAAACCTCTTAGATGTGTAGCGGGGTACAGTCCGCACTATGGTACTAATATTAGAATTGTTTAATGTACCTAGGCTATATAAGATCTCTGATAGATTACCACGCACCAGCCCTGGTCCTTCGTGACGGGAAAGGTATTGACAAGCTCGAAAAATGCAAAATAAAGCCCCCAGAATTATCCTAAGATGCCTCATGGGCACTAAAGTACTTAATAAGAGAAAAGAACTTGGTATACCCAATGTCAAGGGTAGAATCATTGAAGTCAACCTCATGATAGCCCTGAGGCTTTTGCGTGGTGATCCTGATAACATTATTTCCTTAAAATTGCTAGAATGTACGAACCATGGGACTGGTGAATATAAATGGATCCAAACTACAGCTACACATATGAAGATGTTTGGACTAGACCACCTGTGCAAAGCTGAGACACAACAGCGCTTCCTTCCACAATACCGACATATCCGCCTAAAAAAAAAAATATTATGCAAAATCTTTATCGCCAACTCATTGCCAAAGTGAGAGCTCTTGAACACATACACACTCTACAGACTGATGATAACATCACACAGACCATCTACACTGATAGATCTCTTAACACCGCCTGTGGGAGGGCTGGAAGTGCTGTCGTTGTGACTCAACCTGGCGGTAATACAATTAAAAAAGGAGTTGGAATTAACAACTGGGCATCCACTCTATAAACTGAATAAGTTGCCATACTCACAGTTATTAAATTTATTGAAACCACTGTTACTGACAGTCTCATCATCACTGACTCTCTATCCTCACTAATTGCCCTTGACACCCTCGACTCAAGTTGTCACGCGCTTATCTCTGAAGCCAGACACAAATATGCGTACCTTGTTGACCGGGGTGTCAGATTAAACTGTTGTGGATCCCCTCTCACATAGGCCTCAAAGAACATGACAGAGTTGATGCCCTCGCCAAACTCGCGTCTAACAAAGACACCGTTGAATACAATCTGGGACTATAAAAAATAACCTTTAAAACTGTAATTAGGAAGGAACTTATTGATGAATTTGACGAAACCAGACAGGTGCAAACAGGCACTAGTCGATCTACTGTCGACCATAATGAGATGTATCAAATAAAACATGTATATGGAGCAAGTAACAAGATCACTAGATTGCAAGTTGTTGTAACCGCTACACTAAGGTTAGGATACAAGTAACTCTGGCAGTATGTTCCTCAAGCAGATGTGAACAAGACTAAATGAAAAGTGTGTGGCCAGACATATGGCCACACATTCGAACACCACGTCCTCGACTGTGTGAAGATAGAACCTTTTAGAGACAGGTCCAAGCACACTGTGTGTGAAATGGCAAAACACTCTAACGCGAATGGCAAGATAGCTGACATATTAACATTGTATCCACTTTTTTTGCACTTACAGCGTAGTAGCTATATCAACTCCCATGTATAGAACCAAACACACAATGTGCTTGAATACCTCACACTCATATGTGAATAACAAGTGTGCGGCCAGATATACTGCCTCACACTCCTATACTCACGCAGTTGCGAATAAGTTACCCTCTTTGTGTAGAACTAAACGAAGAATATATTAGAAATTCTGTGTAACATTCAATGCCATAATATCCTGATCACGGGGGTTAGTTATACTGACCCGTTGTGAAATCGATTCTGTACAACTTTTGTGCTACCGCTCACCACCTCCCTCACTACCTCCCTCACAATCTCCCTCACCACCTCCCTCACTACCTCCCTTACCTCCTCCCTACCTCACCTCATCTCCCTCCCACCTCCCTCACCACCATCTCCCTCACCACCTCCCTCACTACCTCCCTCACAATCTCCCTCACCACCTCCCTCACCATCTCCCCTCCTACCTCCCCTACATCACCATCTCCCTCACTACCTCCTCACCATCTCACCCTCCCCACCACCTGCCTCTCCATCTCCCACCACCTCCCCTGACCATCTCCCCACACCATCTCCCTCACTAACTCCCACCATCTCCCCTCACTACTCCCTCACTATCCCCCTGACTATCTCCCTCACCACCTCCCCACTCCCTCACCCCCTCCTCACCACCATCTCACCCTCCACCCTCCCTCCCCTCACCTCCTCACCACCTCAACTCCACTCTCCCACCACACACCTCCCCCCACCATCTCCCCTCCCACCTCCCTCATCCCCTCTCCCATCTCCCTCACCCTCTCCCCCACACTCCTCACCATCCCTCCCTCCCACCACCATCACTCCCTAACCCCTCACCACCCTCACCATCTCTCCTCACCTCCCTCCCTCACCACCTCCCTCCCTCCTCCTCCCCATCCCCCCCTTCCTCACCATCTCCTCCCATCTCCCTCACCACCTTCCTCACCACCACCTCCTTCCCATCTCCCTCCACCCCCCTCACCATCTCCTTCACCACCTTCCTCACCATCTCCCCTCCCCCACCACCTTCACCACCTCCCTCACCCACCACCTCCTCACCATCTCCCCTCCCATCTCCCTCCCTCACCCCTCCCTCACCACCTCCCTCCCATCATCTCTAACACTACTCTCGTCACCACCTTCCTCACTATCTCCCCACCACGTCCCTCACCATCTCTCTCACCACCTCCCTCACCACCTCCCCACTCTCCTCACCATCTCCTACACCAACTCCCTCACCACCTCCATCACCACCTCCCTCACCACCTCCCTCCCATCTCCCTCACCACCTCCTTCACCATCTCCCTCCCCACCTCCCTCACCACCTTCCTCACCACCTTCCTCACCATCTCCCTTCCCATCTCCCACACTACGTCCCTCACTACCTCTCTCCCCATCTCCCTCCCCATCTCCCTCACCACCACCCCGTGTACATCATAAGGTACTGTGTACATCATAAGGTACTGTGTACATCACAAGGTACTGTGTACATCACAAGGTACTGTGTACACCACAAGGTACTGTGTACATCACAAGGTTCTGTGTACATCACAAGGTACTGTGTACACCACAAAGTACTGTGTACATCACAAGGTACTGTGTACATCACAAGGTACTGTGTACACCACAAAGTACTGTGTACATCACAAGGTACTGTGTACACCACAAGGTACTGTGTACATCACAAGGTACTGTGTACATCATAAGGTACTGTGTACATCACAAGGTACTGTACATAAGGAGCAGTATACAGTAACTCTGTGAACTGTGCCAGAAAAGTAAGATGTTCACCGCTAAGATAATTGAATAATTCTGAGCAATAAACTGTGTTCCCACAATATAGTGGTGGGTGAGGCAGGTGGTGCAAGCTCAGCCATCGTTGCTGGCTGGCTACTTGTTAATACAGATCTAATGTTAATACAAAAGGGTTTGAGCAATGTAACTTTCCTTGAATACAGATGATGATTTACACGAAAGCAGTGGTGATACTCGGGTCACTGGTGGAGAAAATATACTCACAGTTGTACTATAGATCTTCATGTCGTTTTACAGTATTTCTCTGGTTCATCCATACCTCAAGTTTCTCGAGGTTGGTGAGTGTCGCCGTCTGTAAAGTTCAGAGTTCTTCACTAAAGATGCCTTAATACTGTCGATAACGATCTGTTGGTCCCTGTTTTGTCTCTCTGACGTAGTGTTAACATCTATGGTACGTGCTGTGGGCTTTGTTAACGTTAGAGTATCGCTGTTATGCCACTTGCCATTTTAATGTGACACACTACAGTTGTTAACACACAATATTCTCTGGTACAGCAAGTGGTCTATAATTCTTGTTTACTAAGAGTCGGTGACAACGGTGTGCAGTTGTTTGTTATTTGTTTAAAACAACATTTGCACTTGTCTACATTTCATTTGTCTATATTAGTCTAACCATAATGTTAACTTATAAAAAAATAACTTACTACATAACTATTTATATAAACTAAGACAGGATCACAACAAACGTTGTTTTCTATTACCATAAGTTCATAGCGGCCAAGACAATATAACCGAGAGACCCAGCGGGAGGGAGGACGTACAACCAACCGCGCTGAAAACTGTCCCAGCACTAACTGGCTTACTGAGTCGCTCACACTATACCTTCACCCTCACCTTCCCTGTAGAGCCAGGCCACGCCCCAACGCCTGTCAGGACAGGCCCCCGACAATTATCAGTCACGCCCCCAACAATTATCAGTCACGCCCCCAAAACTTATCAGGCCACGCCCTTAACACTTACTAGGCCACACCTCCAACACTTGTTAGGCCACGCCCCCAAGACTTACCAGGCCACACCTCCAGCAATTGTCAGGCAACACCCCAACACTTGTCAGGCAACACCAGCAACACTTGTAAGGACACGCCCCCAACACTTACTAAGCCACACCCCCAACATTTATCAGCCCACATCCCCAACACTTACTAGGCCACACCCTTAACTCTTGTCAGGCCACACCAACAACAATTGTCAGGCCATACCCCCAACACTTATCAGGCCACACCTCCAGAAATTTTCAGGCCACACCCCAGCACTTGTCAGGCCAGACCCCCACCACTTATCAGACCACACCCCAGCGCTTGTCAGGCCACACCCCCACCACTTATCAGGTCACACCCCCAGCACTTATCAGGCCACACCCCCAGCATTTGTCAGCATCGTTAAAGTGATACTGCATGTTAATTAACAGTAAAAATGGACTAGAGTTTGATCCAAAAAGTCCTGAGGTGAAATTATATATAGCCAATGGACTGTCTAACTTACAGGGAATTTCGGGCCAGAGAAGTCTAGTAAAATCTTCATCTTGTTCCTGTACTTTAGTCCTACTCTGAGAACGGCCTTGTAGAATGTCAGTCACACAGGCATACGTTTTACTTAGTCCTACATTTAAGCATTATATCTCTTAATTTCTCTGTTCAAGCGAGGTATAGTACATCTTTGGAAGCTCTAAACAGTCTAGAGCTGCTATTAAATACCACCCTTATAGGAGACTTCCTACATAAAATCACTTCTACGTTGGTTCTTTTCCGCAATTCACATAACAAAGTTTGGATTTGTCCCTCAGCGGCTCTATGATTAGTGAGTAATCGAGGGGCATTCAATTTCTATGGTAAACCCACCCAATATTGACCGTCTTCATATTTCACTGTTTCTAAATAATGCTCAATGGTAATGCCATCTTCGGGAGTTGACTGATCATGGATTATTCCTAAGGTGTCAAAATACCAAAGTGTGAGGATCGGATCAGTATTTTCGTCTAATATTTTTTATATTTCGGAGGGCACCATCTCTGCCCTTATGTGTAGGGAACCATGAGAGCTTGTGGCGTTACAAATACCGGATCCACCAACTATTTACAGAGACAACAGGCTTACTGAATGGTAGAGGACGCATTATTACTGTAAGCCCTCACCTCCCAGCACTGGTAAACATTTGAACGCCAAACTTATTGACAACCCTGTTAAAAAATCGTCCACAACAATCGGAACCAATGGTGAGTTGATAGATCCAACTACATTAATATTAATGTTCCTATCAGCCAATTTTACGCCCTTAGTTGATACAAAATCTACAGTGTCTTTCAAGCCTTTGTGTACATTTTGTCCACTACTGCTGCTGTTACTCCACACTTATATCTTCCCAGCTGTACCAGAGGTCTAACCAAGTCAAATATTTGGGAGTCCTTATTGGCTAGAAATCCCGTTATAGCCAAATTTACCTTACCAACTGTCGGCACTTCAGTGCGCGGCTCATACAGCTTCTCGGCAGATATATGTTTTTTTTTTTTTACTCCTGTATCAAACAAAGCTTTCGCCTTCAGGGACTGGCTTCCCTTGTTTAATTTGATCTCAGCAACAGGTATAAAGCAGCAGGACTATTGATAGAGTTGGGAGTTTTCGTTAAAGACATACCCATGTATAAAGAGCATTTCCTCCTTCTATTCGAGGACACAAAGCTGAAAGACGCTTGGCCACATTGCATTGGTAATATATGGACAGCTTAGCAGAGCATTTAGATGATTTATGGTTTGATTCAAGTTAAATTAGACATCTACCTAATTCCTTTAACCTTGACAGTCTGATCGATATATCAGGATAATTCCTACAGTATTGAGGGTTCCATTACAGAATTTACAGGTTTTATTATTATTGTCCCTCAAAAGAGACTTAGGTTTAGAACTTGTTTCATGACTAGTTTGATAAAGTTTAGAGGAAAGACTAGATTTTGAAGGACTGGTTTTGTTGTTTTAGAATCAAGTCGTTCACTGTTAACCGGTGCGGTATATTTGCCAACTTGGCTCTTTTATCTGCAATCTTTCCTTTGGTACTTTATTTTTAACATTCAATTCACCTAAATCACTGTTGCCTTTGGGACACGGATTTTCCCTTCCTTGTAGATTGTTTTGTTTACACAACTGCAGAAGCCTCTCTTCTATCTGTTATGCCTAGTCATAATTTGTTATTATATTGTTTGTAAACTTGGTGTTTTTATTGTTTTTTATTCCAAGCGACAGCTATTTTGGCAAGTTTAGGAAGATTTTCTTGTATATATTGATGTATTACCCGTGGGAGAATTTTATGGAATGTATTGTGTCATTCTTGATATGACTTATTTCTTATTGTAAGCCTAGATCATTCTAGAATTCTCCAGGCGTGTCTCGAACCGACCTCCAGCGTCTGGACATTGCTGGAATGCTCTAGGCCCGCAGGGGTCACCAAACTACGGCCCGCGGGCCGGATCCCAAGTCCTTCCCCGGCTCGTGGTAGCTCCGCCTACGCTCTGACGTTACCGGAGCTTTCGTTCTGGCTTGCAAGTATTGAACAGAATGATTATGCGGCCCGCGCTCGTCATTCTTTCAGTTATCCGGCCCACTGTGAAAAAAGTTTGGTGACCCCTGCTCTAGGGAGTCTAGGCGACTGACAAAACATATAAGCGGCAGCGAACGGCCTAGAGTCAGTCAACCGTTTCTGTTAAAGTACAACGAGCCTAGTAAAACAACTGAAGATAATTGTTGTGCGAGTATTGTGGAATTGTTGTGATCAATATAAAGTGCAAAGACTACGGAATTGTACACTGGTTGTGTGCAGACTACAGTGTATAATCGAAGTGGTAAGTCCAGTTGTGAAGCCATTATCCTGTGAGCAGTGGTGTGAATAATTCGTGACCATTAAAGGCGACTACAGTGCACAAGTGTGTTTCTGTGACCTGGTGGTAATCTACCTTCCTTTTGTTTGTCTGTACACTGATACCGATCGTCGGGAAATTACCGGAGACTGGCGGGACAGCTAGTGGTAATTCGACGACACTTGTGAGATATCTACTGCTTCTGTATTTAAGACCCTGACCGCTAGTAACCAGTGGTGGAAGCTGGGTAAGCGGAGAAAGGAGGGCCGCAACATATCTCTTTGTAAGTGAAGTAATTCTTATTGCATCTATGATACAACTCGTCATTCGCCCTTTGAGGCAACTTCCTTTGAACTATTGGGTATGTAATTTATTAACCAGGAAGCAGATGTTAAGTCCTGCACGGAATTCAACGCCTTTAAAGTAAAACTCAAGATGAGACGAAACTCTATTCGAAATCACCTGGAGAGCACAAGTTGACCAATGATTTCCAACATGGCTTCACATGCGGGCTTTCATGTCTGACTAATCTATTAGCATTCTTTTCAGCTAGTTAGCTAGTTAACTTAATGTCGGGTTCACCCATAGAGGCCAACTCGTAACAAAAGTAAGGTAATTTAAAAAAGGTTCCAGGGGAAAAGGGTGGACATTATACAAGGAGGAGTTTTTAATATTTAATAACAATAATGACTAGTTATAAAGACAAATCCTAACCGCTAACCTTACACCGGTGCCCTAGCTAAACATATAAATATACTAACTAGATACAAACTATAACATGGGGACAAGAGCAAAGAGGAGCATAGAACAACTTAAGCCATCTACTTCTCTCTGTGATGAATGTTATGGTACGACGGATGATTAAGGCGGTCACTTGAAGAGCAGGAACCCGGGGAAGGTAGAGGTCCTTAGGGCGAGTCACTGATTGAATAGTTTGAGTACCTTTGTTATATCACCTTTGTTTAGCCCTGGCTTCCATTTATACACCTCGATCATATCGCCCCTCACTCTACGTCTCTCGATGAAGTGCAAATTAAGATGTTTAACCTGTCTCTGTACTCAGGTTCCTAATGCCCGGGATTAGTCTTGTCATCCTTCTTTGAATTCTTTCTAGGGATTCTTTATCCAGTCTGTAGTAAGGTGACCAGAACTGAACTGCGTAATCCAGGTGAGGTCTCACAAGCGCAAGATATAGTTTTAGGATGACCTCGCTAGTCTTGTAACTAACACTCCTTTGTTCTGTTTGGTTCTTTCATCCCAGAAGGACGTCCAATTATCTTCCACAATAAATTCGGGTAATGATAGAACGGGTAGGTGAAGTTTAGGTCGGTTGACCTACCCAGTAGCAAGGACTTTATACAGTAAGCACACTCCGCTGTAACGTCATCAACTTTAGCTCCGACCCATTCAATGACGTTATCTGTGGTGACCGGTCCATAAGGACTACCAAAAATTAGCGGCCTTGCCTCGGTTGAATGTCTTATGTTCTCATAGTCCTCAAAAAAATAAGTGATATACAAAAAAGAAAAGAAAAATATTACAAGGAACTCCCCCAACAATACAAATGGCTGCATTTATAAAGTCCCTTGCAAGGAATGTAATATGTTTTACTTAGGCCAGACAGGTAAAGATCTTGTAACTAGACTTAAACAACATAAATATAGTGTTAGGACAGGCCAGGAATCCAATGCTCAGTTTGTTCATTTGAGGGATAATAAACATTGCATTGACTGGGATAATGCCTCCTCAATATTACCTTGTAATTCAATTGACAGTAGGAACATTA